GACTTGACTTAACAGACTCATAAACTCAAGATGACAATTGCCGAAACCCCCCGATAGGTCTACCAAGATTGTAAGAATCAAATTACAGGGTCATCACTTCATAAACCTAACAAAACACTTCGCTGTTTTGGTGTCTGACGCGTTTCGGATTCTCGCCATCTTCGGTAGTGATTCTGTTTGGTTAAGGTTTCACTTGTGTAATACACCAATTAAAAGCTTCATAAGTATACAATAGGCACGAAATAAGACCAGACTTTTTTTATCGTACTGAGTAAGATAGTGTAGCCTAATAACGTTCAGTATAAAAAAGGCTGGTATACCACTACCGAAGATGGCGAAAATCCCAAACGTGTCTGACAAGCCAGAGGCGAAACGACCCAAACTGCAGGTTCTCACCCCGCAAGACCCCAAGAGAAAACTAGCAATTCTTAAAGTTAGTTGAATATTTTGTTTCGTTCTTAATTTATACGAGGAAACTCTGCTTTTTAGCCATTTCATTGTAATTGTTATACCTTGAATCATAACTCGTTTGAGTTACCCTAAACATTAGTAATATATTATTTATTCATTCATAATAGTATGTTTCTTCAGGTATTTACCTATCAGTTAGAATCCTGTATAGCAGACTAAGATGGAATAACTAATCGCAAAAAAGATATCGTTTAGTAATTAAACGACTGGGAAACACGCCACTGAAAATGGCGAAAACTTATACCCGTCTTAAATGCCAAAATGGTCGTAAACGACCCAAACTGCTGGCCCATCACCATGCATACCCATCACCATGCATACCCCAAGAGAAAATCTCACAATTCTCCTAAAAGTTAGTTAAATATTATGTTGCTTCCTGAATTTGGTGAGAAAGATCCTAATTTTTTTATACTTTGCTTTGGAGGAGCTCCAGGCATATCAACCAAAGGAAACCCATGCATTCATTCCGTCCAAAAAACAGACTGCGTCCAATACGTAGGGTTCTATCTTGACTCAAGACTAACCTCGAACAAACACGTTTGTTTGTTAACGTTTCGGACTACTCTACAGCAATCTAACGTTTCAACAAAAAACAAATTGCCAATTTACAAGACAATACTAAAACAAATCTGGATATCCGGACTATATCTTGGGGCTCGCCGCTAAACCATCCGTCATCCAAAGAATACACTTTCCAATCCAAGACCTCAGAACCATGCTTAGTGCTTCTTACTACGTTTCCGACATCACTCTTCACAATGACCTCAAAATTCCTCCCTTGCAAAAAATAATCCACAAAACGTTTTCCACTTTCCACAATAAACACTCCTCTCACCTCAATCGAGTCGAACAATCCTTATTCATAAAAAACATTACCTATAATTCAACCAGACGACATAATAGGAAATGGCATCGCGACCACTAAACGAGGATTAGTCCTCGCGCATAGTTGGGGGAACAGTAATGGTTGTTAACACCCCTCACGACACACGATCTTTGTTATTTGTAAATATTGAAGCTCATTACATAATGCCAAAAGTAAGGATCATAATATATATTTTTTAAATTATACCTTGAGTTAGTTAAATCGAAGGATATTTTATTGGAGTGATATGGACAAAAGTTTAGTCATCATAGCGTTTTAAGCCCTAAAGGAGCATTCCATCCCCTACATTTATACATTATTTTCATAACATTACTTTTAATGTTTGTGGATTTACCCATCAGTTTAAATCCGTATATTTTCCCCCAATTGTCGGGGGAACGTGTCGCATCGATCTGCTGAGTGCGACCAGCCATACCTAATTAAAGAAAATCAATTTTCATGTGAGGTGAATTGTTTTGTCAATCCTAATCGGATTTGAAAGCATTTTTCTAATGGTCCTTGCCTGTCAATAATTTGAAACTGAATATTAATTAAGATGAGTAGTTAATTAAATCGGATCAATAAGTTTTATGTTGCGAGCGTACGGGGGCGTTTATGGACGACATTACAGCTAAAACATTGGTTGTACGCGTTGTTGTAATGTCGACAATGACAACTAATTCTATTTAGATGGGAAAGGAAATATTTATCGAAAGTTTGAACTTTTATATTCGGCTTATGTACTATTACATGGGTTGAAAACTATGTTATTTATGTGAAATCACAATGCCTTGGCCGATCCAGTTAGTCGGAAAGTAAAAAAGACAACACCCTTCAACTTGCTGAATCTCACTCGTGTGTTTTCAATATATTCATTTTTATGCTAGTCATACTTGGATACGAGCCGATAAAAAGAACTATCAGGGAGGTAAAGAATTACAGGCACGTTAGAAAAGATCATGTTTATCTATAATCTCAATTATTTTATTCCTTTTAAAAAAAAGCGGTTTACTCGGTTGAAAGATTCAGTTGTCTACCGGCCGTGGAACCAGAACATAATTAACCGGCGACGAGCAATTGTTCACAGATCGTTTTAAAACTATTACATAAATCTTTAAAGTAAATTCAGTGTTATGTTGTTTCATCAACATGCAAGAGGATGTCCGATAGATAACAGTCGGTGGCATCCGAAACACTACACGAGTAACGGAAAAAATAAAATCTTTAAGAATTATTAAACTCCGGTGAAAATATTTCTTCTATTCCTCAAGCCAGATGGTATTTACCTTTAGTCGGTCACAATAATGTCACCCGTTGGTATTTTTACTACGAGCAATCCTTTCTCCCGACTTTTTATTGGAAGACGAATACTTTCGGACTTCTGCTAACTTTCCTGACAAGACATATATAAACAAAATATATATAAATTCATCTAAGAAGTCTTAAAGCAAGAGTTTAATTTAGGTGTTTTACTTGAACATATAAGTGAGTTGATCCAGTTTTAACGATGTTGTCAGTGGTAGGACTTTCTTTTAGACGAGGAAAGAAGTCTACTCGATTAAGTGGCATTCCCGTTACGTCGGCGAGTACCCGCAAGTGCCGTTGCTTTCTCCTCAGACAGACCATGAAAGAAGGTTTCGCAAAGGCCGGCAAGCTTTTCGAGATCAACCTGCCCTGAAAAATCGCGAACAATTTATTTACCAGTTGTACTAGGTTCGAATTTAGTACTTAAAATTATACTTAAAAAATCATTTGTGGGCAAACGACTTGATTGATTGTATAAAATTGTTAAGGAACAGTCAAAGCTGATAAGCTGAAAACGAATCCGTTCAAGAGGCACATCATAAAGTCGGATTAGCCTAGATCCGTCATATTGTATCTCGTTTGAAACCAGACGATCGGAGGAAATGTTCAACCTTATTAATAAAAATACGCGTTGTAAATTTGACAACGGTAAAATACAAAAAGGAAAACACGGCTTAGATCCTTTCGTAAAGGATTTGTATTCATAAGATTCAAAGGCCGTGACGATGCACGGAGAACAGCTTGGATGGGGACGGGTTACAGTTCCAGGTGTTACATACTGAGGAGTACAGAAACTTTCATCGATTTAATGCGGGCTTCCGACACTGATGATACACCGGTTAGGGGTCACAGCATCTTCCTTTTTGAAACTTAAACAGCCTTTACTCATCCAAAACAAGATTAGTATTTTATACCAAAACCTATTTACAGTAAAACAACAGAAAAATTTCAAAAATTGATCCATTAATTCAAGATATCTCAGAAACTTATAAAAATAATAATTTAAAAAAAATTTATTTAGAAATCGTGAGATGCGGTCTGGTGTGATGTAGGTTTCAGAAAAACATTTTCTTTATCGTGCCAACGTTTCGATCTTTATTGAGATCATCTTCAGGGCCTGGGATTTACAAACAAAGATCGAAACGTTGGCACGATAAAGAAAATGTTTTTCTGAAACCTACATCACACCAGACCGCATCTCACGATTTCTAAATAAATATCCCTAAACGGTCATTAATCACCACACATTTTTAAAAAAATTCACTTTTATGTACAAGACATTTTAGTTTAATAAATCCGGAAGACGGACTCAATAGTGACCGACTGCCGGTTCAGCTTGAGTTCACCGACTCGCAGGCCAACACCAACAACTCTTTAAAAAGTGCCTAAATAAGCTAAAATAATCTTAAGTCTGGTTTAACGAGAAAAAGAATTTAAAAAATTACAGAGTAATAATAATTAAAATCTCTTGAAATGAGATTGCATAAATGAACTTAACATCGTCCTCACAAATGAGGTGGTGGCGTCAAACTTCATAATCGTCTGATGAGCTTATTCTCATTAAATAGGGCTTAATCGGCTTTAACCGCAGCATTTAACACTCTTTCGTCTTATTCTAAGGAAATATTTTTGTTTTCCTGATTCTCCGGTCACGACAATGACATAAATTTGATATAATATCATCACATTGGGAAATAAATTGCTAATTTGCTAACTAATGCTTGCATAAGGATTTTTCGTCCCTGATTTTAAATATGTTGCTTAAGTGATAAAATTTATATCTGGCATTGATAAACGCATAAGCCATTTAGAAAATTTATAGCTAACCAGAGCAAAAGACTACTTTATTTATACATATCCTTCATTTCTATCAACGAACATAGAATAAACAAAAACCGCATACATTTCAAACTTTATATTGTGAAAGCAACACCTTCTTAGCTTTCTATAAAAGATTTATGCGAGTAAATAATCAAGGAATTGGGAGGTCAACGTTGTGTATTTGATTAATTAAGGTTTTTAGTTGAGATAAAAAAGTCAGTGCCACGAGCGGGATTCGAGCCCACGACCTTCGGCTTGATAAGCCGCTACTCTACCACTTGAGCTATCGATACTTCATTTTTTATATCAACCAAAAACCTTAATTAATTGAATGATATTAGTTGGTCAAGCGGACCACGAAAAATAGTGAAGTTGTGTATTTGGTTGAAATCATGCCCTTGTTATGCGCAATGTTTACCACCTGGTGCTTTTGCACCAAGGCAGACGTCTTGTCTTGTAGATTGCGAGGATTTACTACGTTTTGATGTTTTTTAAATACTTTTGAGGTTTTTAACCGAGGCCTTTTTTTTTGTTTCAGCTTGGGATCATCTACAGGGATATCAAGTTGGAAAACATCCTGTTGGACGCTCAGGGTCACATTGTCCTGACAGATTTCGGACTGAGTAAAGAGTTCTTACCACATGAAACGGTAACTATACAAAAATATTAGTTTTTCATTTTTTCTTTCAAAACAAGAAGAAATCGAAATATATGAACGGAAAAACATACATACATTGTTCACAAGCATATGTACATACATCTATTCTATTTAAAAACAAGATAGCCCACAAACAAAGAGAAAGAGAGAGAGTGAGAGAGAAAGAATGTGTGAATCAGAGGAGGAGAGAATGGAAGAGAGAAAATGATAGAGAGAGAAAGAGAGAGAAGAACGCGGAAGAGAAAGAGGATGATAAAAAGAGATTGCTAATAGTTGTAGGTTTGTTTTATTATATCTAAAATGAAAGAATGGGCAAAATATAAAAAAAGGATTTGGCTACAACTTATGGTGTTATATAAATAAAATGATAATTATTATTTCGTTGTAGTTTTAATCTTAGTAAAAAAGTTTTTTAATAGTTTTAGCCATAGAAAAAATTACATCCGTTTTCAAGGTAGAATTTAAATTAATAAAGACAAAAAACAGTATCTGCAACGAACTTACTAAATCCGAGAACGTGACCAGTAACATGACTGCACATTTAATTGAATCACAAACAAAGAGAGAGATAGAGGGGGGAGAGAGAGAGAATGTGTGAGAACCAGAGGAGGAGAGAAGGGAAGAGAGAGAAAATAATTAAGAAAGAATGTGAAATAAGGAGAGACAGAGAGAGGGAGAGAAGTTGAGAAAGAATTGCAGGGAAGAGGAGAAGGGAGGGAGAGAGAAAAATAATTGTGAAATAAATTTTAAGAAAGAAAGTGAAAATGGGAGAGAAAGATCTTAAGAAAAAAGAAAAAAGAGTAAGTGAGATGTTACGAAAAAACAAGAAAAAGAGAAGAAGTATATTAAGGGTGAGAGGTAGTTTATGAGAGAGAGAGAAATTCAGAAAAAGAGAAGCTTAGAAAAGAAGAGAAACACGCAAGTGCAAATAAACACAGATTCAAAGATAAAATATACAAAAAAATAAAAACACAGTATTCAGTGTACATTAAATATGTATTATAAGATGTATTATTACATAATAATTTTAGATGTATGAGGAAAAGAAAACAGTATTAATTCTTGTTGAATAAAACCATATGGTTTGGAAAGATACACACTCCTTTACAGTGTACGTATAACATTACAGTTAAAACAAAATAGTATGCACTATATTATTATAAATCCATGAAATCAAATCATAATTATGAAGAAACATTTAACCAACAATTAAAACAGACGAACAAATGAAAATCTGATTGACAATTGTTTTTGCAAGCATCTTTACTTTATTATTTATTACCTCGGAGTAGAGACTGAGTGGAGACAAATATCGAGGCCCCTGTTCTAAATTTAAAAAATTGTCCGAACTTAAAAATAATTCTGGCACTGCACAGTTGTTTTTACTGGATTTTAATTGAGTCAAAGAAAAGCCCGCTGTTGTCAGCACTATTGGGACGTGTCAGTTAGCAGTAAACCTATCAGTTGTGATTGTTAATTGCATTTTTTTTTAATTTATCAACAAATATTTGTTCTGCTTTTTATGTCAACTAGGCGAAAACGGGGTCCCTTCTATTTACAACCCTTCTAACAAGGTTACAATGTCCTTGGGATATCAACATTGTTGTTTTCTCTTTTGTTAAAAAAAAATCGTGTTTAATTGGTTAAAATACCAAATATTAAATTACCTTGTGCGTCTAATTATCAAATAAACCCGATTGCCTGGAAAGCAATGAGTCGGCAGACGTTTTCTAAAAAACTTGAAACGTGGGTAATTCACAGGGTTGTAGAATTTGTAGCCAAGGACGGTGTTTTGTTTGCAGTCTAGCGTGGTAATTTCATCAATGTTGAGAGCTAATAGCCGGACATTCGTTACAACTTGGTTGAAACCGTATATTTCCCGACAAACCTCTTAGAAACAGAAGCGTTTTGGGCATAAATTTAAATTTGAAAAATAATATTATGATTATGATTATTTAGAGGTTTTGAGATGCAGTCTGGTGTGATGTAGGTTAAATGATGTACGTAAAAAAGGGGGAAAAGGTTCAAAAACTATAAAACTATTCACATATTTATTAGGTTTCGTGGTCCGCTTGGCCAAATAAATTCTTTTCAATTAATTAAGACTTAGGCTGAGATAAAAGAAAATGGCAAAAAGGAGGGAAAATTGACAAGGTGGGGTTGAGATGGGAAGTTAGTGTCCGAGTGGATCGAAGTCACAATATCTCAAGTGGTAGAGCAGCGGCGTATTTAGCCGAAGGTCGTGGGTTCGAATCCCGCTCGTGACACTGACTTTTTTTATCTCAACCAATACCTTATATAAAGATTAATTAATTGAAAGGTATTTATAAGTTACTTTTACGCCATAGACATGCAAATTTAAAAAAGTTAATATATATAAAACATATATAACATAGAAGTGACATAAAATTGACGTGCTTGTTTATTGCTATTAAAATTTAATGAAGTCACGTTAGCTCAAGTGGTTAGAGCAGTGGCGTATGTAGCCGAAGGTCGTGGGTTCGAATCCGCTCGTGACACTGACTTTTTTGTCTCAACCAAAGCCTTAATTAATTGTAAGCTATTCACACACTTTTTCCAAAACTAAAGATCCCACACCATTGACAAATAAGTCTGATGTAATTTACAAAATCAATTGTATAAATTGTTCGGTAACATACATCGGAATTGCATCCCAATATCTTGTTAAGAGGGTAAAACAACATATTATCTATATGTGGTGATTAGTGACCGTTAATCGATAATTATTCAGAAATCCTGAGATGCGGTCTGGTGTGATGTAGGTTTCAGAAAAACATTTTCTTTACCGTGCCACGTTTCGATCTTTATTGAGATCATCTTCAGGGCTCAAAGTGTTTCTCAAAGTGGCACTCTCAACACGACACACAAGAATGACACAATTACACAGAAGACAAACACTTTAAGCCCTGAAGATGATCTCAATAAAGATCGAAATGTTGGCACGATAAAGAAAATGTTTTTCTGATCACACCAGACCGCATCTCACGATTTCTGAATAAATATTATCTATGATTGCAAAAAGCTTAAACAAAATCCTACAGAACTGGCTATCCTCCATTTTGAACTTTGATTTCAACAATCCAAAAATATTAGACAGAACAAAACAAACATAAACGTAACTTTTTAGAAATGGTTTTCTTCAACAGAGTTTAAACATAGCATCAATTATAGAACAGACATACTTAAACAATCAAACTCAATATCAGTAACATACATATAATACACAAAATTTATACACAACATATAAAACAATCATTACACTCCGCACATCAAACCACTTAGTCAATCATCAACAATTTATCTCTCCTTTTCCAAATAATCCCGTATGACTAACCAGGCCCTAACGACAAACCATTACCCCTTTTTTTCCATTGTCGGTCCCTTTCACCTCAAAGAAGCCGACTCCTCATAGAAAAATGAATTTCTAACTCTATAACGAATTCCTTCCCTTCCTTCAAAATCAAACATACATAAACAATAAAACTTAATAACATAAACAATGTTTATAAATCCCAGGCCCAATCTTGATCGCAATAAAGATATTGAAACATTGGCACAATAAAGAAAAAGTTTTTCTAAATCTATATCACTAATTAACAAGCACTAAATATTACACATGATTATTTAAATACCTAATATTTGTTTATATCAGAGAAAAATATTATTTTGCTTTTAATTTATTGTCTTAAATTAGTATGAGCTCCTCGCAATTTCACCACGCATACACTAAACAAACATGAAACTACAAGAATAACACTTTTTGCCTAGAAGATGCCCTGAATAAAGGTGGAAAGGTAGGTAATAAAATGGAAAAGGTGTTTCTATGAAATACAACTAACCTGACTGCCCACTACTTCAACCATTCATAAATTTGTATCTTTGTAATATTATTATTTATGTATATTATCAATAGATTTACTATTGTTTATATATAATTAATGAAATATATTTTTTTAAAGGAACAAAGGGCGTATTCCTTTTGTGGCACAATTGAATACATGGCCCCTGAGGTTGTCCGAGGTGGAAGCACCGGACACGATATCGTAAGTATTTACCCAAATATTATTAATATTATTATTAGCAATATTTGTTATTTACATTTAAAAGTGCATTTGTGAACTTTGCAAAACCTAGTTTAAGAGAAAATCGTGCATTGTGTATTCCTTGAATGTTGACGGTACGCCTAGCTTCGCCGTTTTTCATTTTCATTTATAGTTATAATTCTTAAAAAATATTGATTTATTTCGGTGAAATGTTAGTAACAATATGGACAGTTCAGTTTGGCCTTGTGTCCTATATATTTTCTGTATGTGTTCGTGAATATGATATTTAGGGTGTTTTTAATAAGTTATTTTATTTAACGTACTTAAGTTTCTTTTTAATAAGTCCATTACCACAAATATAATAGTAGGAGCTCCAAAAGAAAAAGTGTGGCGACCGTTTCTCGGGCCAAAAAATTAATGTTTAATCCTTAAAAAAAAGTTGTTCAACTATTTTTGCAAAGCATGAAAGCTTTAGTGCTTTAAATGATATTTTGAAAGTTGCGCATTAAGTGTTAATGTATATCCTGATTCGATGAACTTGAAACTCGCTTCCCTTGCTCTGTTTGAATATTCTCTATTTGAATATATTATTCTGCGCCAAAAACTACTTTCGATAATAAAACATCGTCTTATTAACCCTTTCCTTAATCGGTGTGTAACATTTTTATGGCGTACATTGAGTGGCAACGCGCAAAATTCTTGCTCGGCCATAAAATCGTTTCTCTCGAAACGTTTTTCGGCACATTTGTAAAAAGCTTATCGTCATATTGAACAATTCGTTTTTTTCCCTTCATGTTATAGGGCAACAATTGGTTATCAATTGTCCGAGTAAAAAGTAAAAGTTAAAAAAAAAAACACCCAGGAACTGAAAAATAAATGTTTTTATTTGGAAAGGAAGGAGTAAAATTTTGTCACAAATTTAAGTTCGTACCACGAATTATCGATTTACGGCTTTAAAAAATTCTCTAACCTACAAATTTTGAGCAAACTTAAAGAATAAAATTTAAAAAATTGTTGGCTGTAATAGACCAATTAGATTTTGAGAATTTTTAACATCACATTTTTAATCTATATCTATTAAATCGCCTGGAAAAATTATTGAAATAAAATTTTAAAGTTTGATGCTTACTCAGAAAATACTGATTCTTCTGAAAAAGAAACGAGTATGAAAATTAAAATCTAATTATAACTTTAATAAAAATTAAAAGCTGTTCAGCTGTTCGTCCGAAAAAAGGTCTCTACCCCCTTAAGATATCTGAAAAAAATTATAAAATAGAGAAACTTAATCGAACCTGGCCTGTACAACCATTATTTCACACATCAAAATTTACGTTCTGTATATTCAGCACATAAAGTCATAAAGGATCATAAAATAGAGAGAAAAACGTATCTCCTTTTTCTATATTTCTTCTACCCTCTATAATCACCCTTGGACGAACGACTTCTTTTATTTTTTGTATTAATATTTTCTAATTGTCTACTAGTTGTGATTTGTTTGATTGAGACGTGCTCAAGGGCCTCGTAACTAACTCTGCGTCCCGTCCTTGACTGTGTAATCATGTGCAGCGCGTGCGTGCGAGGTCCCAGATAGCCGAATGTGAATATTTATACACGTTAAACGTTTGATATTGCTGCGAATACCCAGACGTGTGCTATTTTAAGATTAACCGATTTCTGTCCTGGCATAGCACAGCATCCTATTACCGTGCGGTTTTCCTATCCAATCAGCCAAATATCGGCCGTAGGCTTGTACAGGTCTAAATCCGTATCATATGGGGATTGTTTATATCATTATGTATCATGCTTATGTCTCACCGAAATCGTAATAAAGCTGTGTAAAAAATTTGCGTAACGCTTAAAGCACAGCTGGAAACGGTGTCAACAAAATTGCGGATGGAAAAGGATGCTGCATCTGTGACAGCTAGCCAATTAACTACTCACGGGTGGCAATATATGTATCATAACCTACGTGAAATTTTGGTCTAATCGGAAGTCAATACAGACATGGGAAAATGAGTTGAGAGAGTGATAGGGACGGATCCACACCAAAACGTTTTCCAACCATTGAACATCGCATGAATTTAAATATGTCACACTTTTAAGACTACCATGGCACTTACGGAACAAGTAAGGAACAGGGCGGATCTTTACCGGACAAATATCATCGATAACCCTAATTGCCCATGCTGTGGAACACCCCAATCTTGGCATCACATAATTTTCGAATGCCAGATGTTCGACCGAAAGAGATATTGGTTCATTCGATATGTCACTCTGGAAGGAAACGGCTTTGACGAAAGAACCTTGGATACAGTTTTAACAGTTTATAAATCAAATTGATTTGGAAATGTTATAAAAATAAAGATTAAATAGTAATCGTGAAAATAATTTAATTTTTAAAAATTAAGACTAAGATTTTTAAGGCTTTATTGTAGTAAAAGCTGATAAGTAATAAGGCTAAATACCTAATATAATTAAACAACAAAATGAATTAGTAAAAATTATAGTACTTTCTGAAAATTTGTAATCATTATGGGAACAGATAAAAAATATAAATAAACTCTCCATGGGCAGGGGTACTTTTTTCTTTTATATTGTCAACTTGATCTTATCGTCTTTGTACTTGGAAAAAATTTTGTGTGTTGTTCCATTTGATTTGTGATTAATAATGTTAGCTCGAAGGTAGGGAAAAGACAAAATTATTTTTTACAAGAACATTGTATGATAAAACCACTTTTATAAAACGTGGAATAACAGAATTTTGAAATTTGTGTTTACTTTTTTTTCTGCACTTCATTGTCACTTTGAACGTATACAACTTATTTTTTTTGATATTACAAGGTCAGGATGGTCAGTGTTACGATACACGATTTTCTAGAAAAACAAATGAAAAATCGTATTTATCACTTTGAAGATAAAAATAAATTTTTATGATATCTTTTCTAGGGAACCCTGTACGCCCAGTTTTTATGGGATGCCATTCGCCCCATAATTATTCTACCAGTCGGATTATTAGAATTTTGTTTTTACGAAGGAAAATAGAAATCTTTATGAAATTAGAACTGGAATCATACTTTCCCGTTTAATACATAAATGTTTATGATGCCTTTTCTACAAGAACCAAGTCCTGAACGCTCCGTTTTTAGGAGATCTTTTTCCTATATTTTCATTCTAAAAGTTAAGCTAGTAGTCATTGTAGCCAACTAAGATTTTTAATATTGAAATAACAATAGAAATACTCGATACATAATTTACGATGCATAGAATTTCAATGTATGATTCGATTTTATGGGTTTCTTTTTTCCCTATATTTATTCAAAGAGCTCAATTATTAGAATTGTGTTTTTACGATCCATTGGCATATATGGAAATGCTATAAAAAGGAGATAGTTTATTAACATTGGTCACTGTGACAATTATAGTTGATCACATACTTTTTACTGAGCATCTTTGTTACAAAAATCAACAAGATAAGATTTGTAATTTTCAAGTAGAAATGAAATTTTAAAATGGCTTGAGTGTTTACATATATGTTTATTACATAGAAAAATAAATATGACTCTAGTAGGAAATACAAGGCCTGGCTTGGCAGCTTTTATTTTGCTGTTTTTTTTACACATATTCTCATTATTCGTCATTTTTCTGGGATTTTCCCCGATAAAATATAATTTAGGGAGAAAGAATGAAACTTGCTCATACTTTATCCTGTAATGTCATACAAATAAATCTGAACAATGCCCTTTGAAGAGAATCGAAAGTACATGGACGTTCGGTTTTTATGCAAGTTTGTACATCCCAATATTTATTCTAAAAGTTATGGAACTTTATGGGAATATATGTGCACAATTATATGAAACTAAAGTCTGTCGATATTTGCAACCAACACAAAAAAATTATGCCAAGAAATTTCGATAGATTTTTAATAATCAGCATTTCTAGTTTTCAAGGAAAAATGCAACTATATTATTATTCATGAAAATTAGATATTGAAAATCAATTTTTATGGGATGTTTATTGTGCTACATTTGTTCTAAAAGCTGACCCTTTTTGTTACTATTTCATTTTTATAATATTTGCACGGATCCGCTATAAAGAAAATTCATGATTGATCAATTGAGAAAAGGGAAAATTTCATCAGAAATTGTGAAGTCAGCTATTAGGAATTCAAGGCCTGAACGGCGATTTCTGTGATCTTTCATGATATGGTGTTTATGACATGTCCGACTGGAAAAAATAAAAACAATACGACCACTTGTTGAAAAAAAATAAGATTCTATAGATATATAATATTTGCGAGTTCTCAAGGACATTACTGAACAATTAAAAAGTAAAAAACATGATTAATCACTTGTTTTCACACGAGTTGCTTTTATGGATATTTAACAATTAGATTGGATGTGTAGTTTATTCAAGGAAAAACGGATCATTATCATATCTTGTCAGGTTAAGCAAATATCTTTGAAGCTCAGGAGGAGAAAAAGGACGCCTTTTGTAGGGAATTCCAAGGCCTGCCCGGTCAGTTTTTATAGGATTACTTTTTTCCTAGATTTATTCAGAAACTCAGATTAATTGGCATTTCTCTTTCATGATATGTGAAAAATGATCACAACTGGATGAATGATAGAAATCTGGTACGGTGACAATTGAAAATCATGGATGCATTAATATGTTTGACTTTAATAAATATTTCATAATCAGCTGGGATTGTTTCATTGACAAATAAACTGCACACTTGCCTTTTAAATATCTAAATATTTTTAAAAATATTATTTTACAGAGTGCTGACGGAAGAAATTGAATATCACATCTCATGTTGATAAACAATTAAACATAAATATTCACTTATTACACGAGTAAGTTAACAAAGTAAATTAAAGTAAAAGGTAAAAATTAAACATTATCATATTTTGTCAGGCCGTGTAAACATTTTTTATACCCTACAAATACATGAGGTGCTTTGCAAAGAATTCGAGGCTTGCCCGTCAGTTTTTATGAGCTGG